GTGATAGACAAGTGTATCCAGATGTTCGACAAGAATGATGGCACCTTTACATTCCAGACTGGCCGGGTATGTATTTGTGTTTGCCGCACAAATAGGACACGAATGTGGCCCGGGATCGCGGGCAGACTTTTGTGGCCCGCCAATGAGAAGAGACAAAGGGCGTGGTGTGGACCCGCCCTGGTGTTTAAAAGGGTTTTTAGGGATGGAGAGAACTGGAGGAGAGCCATGGATGGAGAAAACTTGAGAGGAGCCCTGAAAAAAAGAGATTGGAGAGGAACGAGAGGTGAGACGATGAACCCCGGTGGCGTTGAGAGTTGAGCGAGTGCCTTTCGGGAAAAAGATGGAATTCCCGTGACATAGACTGACTTCACCGGCTTGGCATATAACTGGGACTTTATTACTTCATATATAGAAATCTGTGAAGCAAATATAAATTCTTCTTTTATTTTAAAATTCAATCTTTCATTTGTTACTTACTCACGACGTTACAGTACCATACGTATTAAGCGAAAAAAATTTAATGGCCAAAATTTCGATATGTTCTTCAATTCGTTGCTCGGCACAAAAGGGAACTATTTTTGGACCACTTGGTAACTGGAGATGAAAAATGGATTGGGTATAAATAAGTCATTAGAAAAAAAGCATATATTTACAAAGGGAGGACACCACCATCCACTTCCAAAGCTGGTGTGCATCAGAGGAAGTGTTGTAGAGACAGCAAGGTATAGTGCACTATGAGTTACTGAAAGAAAATGAAACGATCGTTACTGCTCCCAACTTGATGTTTGGAATAAAGAAATTCAACACAAACGTCCATTGGTCAACAAAAAGGGTGTGATTCTTCATCACGACAAGTCTAGACTACACATGGCCAGAAACACCACATAAAAAATTGCACATTTCGGTTGGGAAACTTTACCTCTACCATCATATACTCCTGATGTTGCAACATCTGACTGTCATCTGTTCAGGCCGCTGCAAAACTTTCTTGATGGGAATGAATATGTAAATTATGAGGGTGTTCAAATGGCAGTGGAAGAAAACTTTTTTTCCAAAACAGAGAACTTCTTTTCCAGTGGGTTAGATAAGCTACCAGAACCCTGGCAGACAGTTGTAACTAACAAAGGACAATATAATTTACATTAAATTTTAAATAAAAAGTGAAAAGAAAAATATTTTTCTTTAGGAAAAAAAAAGGCAAAACTTTCCTTTACAACCAACAGCTAATATAATATCCATACAATACTGTTTAAATTGAGACAAATTTTCAACATGTCAGGGGACTACAAATACAATAACAATGATAAACCTTTTAAGTTAAAAACCTTTGATGATAAACCTTTAATGATAAACCTTTTAAGTTTAATACAATATTACAGTTTATGTCGTCTTTTTATAATAACTTCACAAAAAAAAATTCATTATTTAGATCACGGCCGAATAAACCCCCAATGAGCCCTAAACATTTTTTCTCACTTGGTTGTCTCTCTCCCGCACAAGAAATAAAGCACATAAAAATGTAAACAAATAAATAAGAGGTGAAAAACTGAGACAAGAATATGAAATCAAAATACAAATGAATAATAAAAAAATTTATTACATTGTTATGCATCGTGCGGACACAGGCTAGACCTTGTAACCATAAAAGCGATATATTTTTAATTGTTTCTTTATTTTATTCAGTTGTCCAGCAGAAAAGTAAATTATTGTATTTACATTTTATTTTCCCAAAACAGCAGTTTGAACGAGACCTAGATATTTGTCTATCGATGATCCGGCCTTGATTTTAATATCTATTGAACAAAAAGCCTAGAAATGACAACGTGTACAGCTAGTTTCCTCACATAACAAGGGTAGAGATAAGTAATATCGCGTTCTAAACTTAAGTTCCTGGGGTATTACCACTTAAGAGCTCATAGTAAGATTTGAGATAATAAAAAAAAATTATTACTATTTATTTGCTACGGTAAGGTGCTTATGTAAGTGTTTGAAGATCTGATTTTATTGGAAGATTTTATTGTCCTTTGTTCTTCTTTCCAGCCCTTTGTTCTATATTTCAAACTTGGTAGTGTAAAAAGA